GGGGCAGCCTTTATGTGAGCAGAGGCCGCGGGGGCGTGCAGGCCCTGGATTATGAACGGGGCTCTGACTCTGCTTTCTTTCTCCACCCTCCCCCACAAGTCTGCAAAACCTGCATCGTGCGCTACCTGGAGACCAACAAGTACTGCCCCATGTGTGACGTGCAGGTCCATAAAACCAGGCCGCTGCTGAGCATCAGGTGGGCCTGGCGCTGTCCGTCCTGCCATGCCGGGCCTCTGTCCCTCAGCCCTCCTCGCTTCCCATCGCCGCGAGGGCTGGTCGGGGAGAGGCACAGAGTGTCAGCCCAGGGCCCTTCCCCTCCCTCTGTCTTGTATCCAGCTTGTCCAGGCTGAGAAATACCAGAGGGGTAAAGACCACGCCTATAGGGACCCTGACGCCTGGGCCCTGGATCAAGGAAGGGAGGTGGGAATGGGGGTTCCTGGCCGGGGAGATCAGGGTGAGGTGGTCGCGGATAGGACTCTTTATGTTTTTTTCCAGATCTGACAAAACCCTCCAAGACATCGTCTATAAATTGGTCCCTGGGCTTTTTAAAGGTACCCACCCACCCTTCGTCCTGACCCCCGCCCCCCCGCTGCCCTGCCTGGCGCTCCATCCTCACCCTACCTCTCTCTCCCAGATGAGATGAAACGGCGGCGGGATTTCTATGCAGCGTACCCCCTGACTGAAGGTGAGCGTGTTCACCCGTCCGTCCGCGTGAGCGCGCACTGTGCTGCCCTAGGCACGCGGGCTGGACGCACCGGGCTGTCCGTCTTGCACACGACATACCAGCTCGCCGCTGCCCCGGCCCACAGGACGGCGGGGGCTCACCCCGCCGAGCTCCGAGATCCCGGGGTCCTTGGCGGGCCTCCTTCCCCCGTCCTAGGCCAACCTCTCAGAGCCCTCTCCTTCCGCAGTCCCCAATGGCTCCAATGAGGACCGCGGCGAGGTCCTGGAGCAGGAGAAGGGGGCTCTGAGCGACAATGAGATTGTCAGCCTCTCCATCGAGTTCTACGAAGGTGTCAGGCAAGTCTGACCCACTCCTGGCCTTTTGGGGTCCTAGGTTGGGTTGCCCCCTTTTTCCCACCCTGGCCCCCTTCCCCTAGGAAGGGGAGGTACCTCCGGGAGGGCCTCTGGTTGTGTGCTTTAGGGGATCCTGCCCGTTCCAGGGTCTCCCTAGTTTCGTTCTTTGTCCTCCACCAGGGACCGGGATGAAAAGAAGGGTCCTCTGGAGAATGGGGACGGGGACAAGGAGAAGGTGAGTGTTGGGGACCTGCTCAGGGGCGGGCTGTGGGCTGGGAAAGAGTGCCTCGGATGGACCCCAGCCCTCGGGTGCCTCTCCGCCGGCAGACGGGGGTGCGATTCCTGCAGTGCCCAGCAGCCATGACCGTCATGCATCTCGCCAAGTTTCTTCGCAACAAGATGGATGTGCCCAGCAAGTACAAGGCGAGTCCCCGGGCCCTTTCAGAAACTAAGTGTCTGTGTGTGTGGCTGTGTCTGACCGTCTGTGCGTCCCAGCCATTGCTCTGAGCTGGCTGGGTGTCCTCAAGGGCCTACATGGTTGTGTGATTGAGCCCGAGTAGAAGAACAGTTGAAACCAAGGTCAGGGTGGGGCAGTCTTCATCTGTTGAAACCAGTGTGCAGAGGTGTATGGGACCAAGATGGAGGGTGGGTGGGTGTGCGAGTGTGCACACGCGCATGCTTACACGCTCAGAACTGTGGCAGAGGCATGTGTGCAAAAATACTGGGTCTTATCTGGGGCCATCTGGCTGAAGGAAGGCCAGTCTGAAATTCCAGCAGCGCTCTCGGACATTGCTTCTCAAATTTGAATGTGTCGGTGATTCTCTGAAGATCTTGTTAAAGCGCAGATTCTGATCAGTAGGTTCTGCTGTTCTAGCAAGCTCCCAGGTGCTGGCAATACTACTAGTCTGTGAACCACACTTTGGGTATCAAGGTTCGAGGATGGTGGATCCCAAACTTTGCTGCAGATCAGAATCACGCAGGGAGCTTTAAAACCCGATTTACGTCCTACCGATTAAATCAGAATCTCTGGTGAGATCCAAGCATTGGTATTTCTTTTAAAGCTCCCTGGGTCGTTCCACTGCAGCCTGGGTGAGAGTCAGTGCTCTGCGAGATCTTTCCCACCTGGGCTTTTTCTTTGCCCCCATGATCTCTGGAGGACCTGCCAGAGATATAAGAGGACCTAGACAGCTGTGTGGATGGCTGCGGGCAGGGGTTATTAATGATCTGGGTGCTTTCTCTGGATCCTTTCCCGTCTGGTGGTCAGGAGTTCTGTCGGGACAGGTCTGGGAGGGAAGTCAAACCCACCGTGAAACCCCAGAGAAATAAGGGAACACCTGCTAGTCCCTCCTCACCAGTGTCCCACCGCCCACTCCTAGCTTAGAGCCTCATTGCCAAATGGCTAGAGCCTTGAACCTGACCGGGGTCATGGTGTCCTCCGTCTCCTCCTACAGGTGGAGGTTCTCTACGAGGATGAACCACTGAAGGAGTACTACACCCTCATGGATATCGCCTACATCTATCCGTGGCGGCGGGTGAGCTGAACAGGGCGGAGCCGGGCGAGGACAGGGCTGGGAGGGGAGCCGTGCAGGGTCTGGCATCGGTCTGTGGCCACAGTGACCACACAGTGACCAGTAATCCCCCTTCGCGCCTCGTCCCATGAGCTGGGCGTGGCCAGGGTGGCCTGCCACACCAGGCCAGCCTCCAGGCCATCTTTCGATGATGACCTGCCACACTCGGAAGTAGAAGAGGATCCTTTGGCAGATGACGTGCCCTGATCTGGGTCAGAAAGGAGGGCCGGGTGGCTGTTGGGGAGCAACTGTTGCTCCCTGCTTTTCAGCCTCCCTCTCTCCTCTCCATCCTCTGGCCTTGCACGTTCTTCCTGCCTCTCCGGGTCTTTGTGTGCCCCCTGCATCTCTGGCCTTGCTCGGTCAGTCTTGCTTTGCCTGTCCCCTTGTCTCCAAGGCCTGGACCCCTTTCTGCCCGTTTGGGCACCGTGGGGCGAGGGTTGGGTAGCTGCCTGGTTAGCCTCTTTCTCCTGACACCCTCCCCTTCCCTGCCTCTCTCTGCCCCGTCTCCTGGCAGAATGGCCCTCTCCCCCTCAAGTATCGGGTCCAGCCGGCCTGCAAGCGGCTCACCTTGCCTACAGCGCCCACCCCCTCGGAGGGCACCAACACCAGCGGGGCGTCTGAGTGTGAGTCAGTCAGCGACAAGGCTCCCAGCCCTGCCACCCTGCCGGCCACCTCCTCCTCCCTGCCCAGCCCAGCCACCCCCTGCCATGGCTCTCCCAGCTCCCACGGGCCCCCGGCCACCCACCCTACCTCCCCCACTCCCCCTGCGACAGCCGGTGGGACCACCACAGCTGCCAACGGGGGTACCTCGAACTGCCTGCAGACACCATCTTCCACCAGCAGGGGGCGCAAGATGACTGTCAACGGAGCTCCTGTGCCCCCCTTAACTTGAGGAAAGGGACCCTCTCCCTCCTTTTCCAGCCATGCCTCTCCACCCCTCCACTTTTTCTGGGCCCCTTTTCCACCTCTTCTGCTTTCCCCAGCTCCTCCCGCCTTAGGGGTGGGGGGTGGGTTTTATAAATAAATCTATATATATATGTACATAGGAAAAACCAAATATACATACTTATTTTCTATGGACCAACCAGATTAATTTAAATGCCACAGGAAACAAACTTTATGTGTGTGTGTATGTGTGGGGGGTGGAGTGTTCATTTTTAGGAGGTCTTGTGTAATTTGCCCTGCTCTCATTTTGGGGGTGCCTGGAGGTGGACTGGAGGGGCCACCTGAGGCTCAGTAAAGCTCCGCTCCATCCTCCTTCCATTTCCCAAGGCAGATGGGGTGTTCCGGGAGCCCTACCAGCCCCCAAAGCTTTAGGCACAACTCCAGCTGGCCGTGTATGGGGTCTGCCGTCTCTGCCCCCATCTCGGCTGCTGTCCCGCCCCTGCCAGTGCCCCCCGCCCCCATTGTTGAATGTCCAGAGAATTGCTAAGACAGTGCCTTTTACAAATGCAGTTTATCCCCTGGTTCTGAGGATTGAGTGGGTGGTAAAGATGCATCTCCCTTACCTCCTCTTCTTGCAGTGGAAACTTTGTGCAAAGAATAGATAGTTCTGCCCCCCCCACCCCCCCGTGTGTGTGGCCTTTGCATCATTTATCTTGCGGAAGAGAAGATTCAGGGCACGGGAGGCCTCAGCCCTTGAAATTCCACTGTGGCTTTAGCAGGGCGAACGCTTGGCCTGGTTCTGCCCCGAGCCCGGAGCCCCGACAGGCAAGGCTGGTTTTGGCGAAGTCCCACCTGGGGGCCCGGAGTGCAGGGGAGAGGTGGAGTGGGGTTCATCTCAGACAAACACAGATCCCAGATTGTGCCAAAGGCCAACAGCCCCCCAGCCCCCTCCCCACCCCCAGCCGAGGCTGAGTCAGGACAGAGCCACAGAGACATCGAAAAGCACAAGAAGATGGAGACCTTTAAGCTCTGACCTTGGCTCCATCCCGAGAGGTCAGTGGACGGCCCCCCGAAGGGCGGACCCCAGCAGATCCCTGCCCACCTGTCCTTCCTCCAATGTACAGAGATCAGCAGATCGGGGAGGAGGTGAGGAGGCAAGACCCCCTTGCAACCTAGGTGTTTGGGGTCAGGAGCCCCCCCATCAGGTTTGTCTGTGTTTGCACCTCTCCCGTGTCTGAGGTGCTGTGACTGTACCCCCTCCTGCCCTGGGACATTTGTATCTCCCGGCTTTGTAATAAATGCTGCACACTCTCCGGAAGCTGTGGTTCTTCAGGGGACAGGGGACGGGTGGGCGAGGCCTCTGGCCGCCGCCGCCTCATCTCTCTGGGCTTGGCCTGTCTTGGGAGGCCCCATATGGAATGAACGCGAACTGCCCCCTCCCTGCGGCGGGTCAGATGCCCCATCCCAGGTTAGGACCCTGAGCGGGGGTAGGCCGTGTGCCCCCCACCAATGACCACAAGAGCACCGCACTGGGTGGGCACGGTGTTTAATACCACCTTCACCAGCAGGTGATGAGCCAGGGGTGTGTTCCCTGGCTGCCCGAGAGACCTCAGGTATTGGGAGCAAGCCCTTCACAAGCCAGCACTGAGGACTGGGGTCCCTGGGTGGTCCCTTCTTGGGCTCAGCACTCCCGTTTCCTTCCCCACAAATGGGGTGTCTGCCAGAGGCCTGGGGCTAGACGGCAGCCAGCCCCTCAGAGTGGGGAGCCCACTTCTGCCTTCTGCACCCGCTCACTCCGGTGGGTGCCGTCACAGTACGGGGCCTTCTGGGTGGCCTTGCAGGTGCAGAGGGCCACTGTGCGGGTCTCCTGGGCCTTGAACTTGAGTGGGGACAGGCCAGTGCGTTGGAAGAAGTGGGAGCCATCACAGAAGGGCTGGTGAGGGAAAGAGCGACGTTAGAGACCCAACCCCACGTGCTGGGGTGGGGCAGGTCTGGAAGGAAGGGCACGGGCACGCTGTGTCTAGGGCTCAGGCTCCTGAGCTGACCGCCGGGGTGCCGTCGCCGACCTCTGTCTGAGGGGTGAGAGGAAAGCCGTGCCAAGGAAATGGAATAAATAGTGGTTCTTAGGCACTTTGCCCACTTCAGTAGGAGGCTTTACAATATTTGTCTCTTTGGGGCCCAGAAGACTGGGATACGGGGGCAGAATTTTCAAGGTGAAGTGGGCCTTTTGGTATCAGCAATGTTTACACTGATAGTTTTTTTGTTTTGTTCTTTCTTAATGTCTCTGAGTCTCCACTGGCTCATAAATTCATTTCCTTCCACATTTTCTCAGGGTAAAAACTTCTCTGCATGGGAGAGAACCTACATGCCTCACAATGCTTTGCGACTGGGGTATCCATTTTGCCTGGCTCCGGGGAAACAAGTGGGCATGTTACGGGAAGTGGATGTGGCAGGGTGGAAGGGTAAACCGGCTGTCTGGTGCAGGAGAACGTTCCCCATCTTCCCTGGAAGCTGTTCCAGCAGAGACTGGGTCATGGAAACTGGCCTTGACTTGCTAGTTAGCGGCAGAGCTGGAGCCAGGGCCTCTTGCCCTTGAGGTCAGGGTAGGGTGGGAGGAGAGATGAGAGAAGTCCGCAAATAGAACCCAGCAACCTGCCCCAGAGGGCAGAAGGCAGGAAGGCAGAGGGCCGGCCCGCAGGCGCTAGGCCCCACGGCGGAGGACACTCCCCTAGTGCTGCCGCGCCCTCGGGCCGCACTGCGCCCAGCCGAGGCCATGGCAAAGCAGGACTTGGGACCTGGGCTGTCAACATGGCTTCGAGGCACACAGTTCAGAGCCCAGCTCAGGAAGGAAAGAGGCCTAGGAGGCTGGGCATACGGGTCAGGTTCTGCTGGAAGGAAGGCTCCTGGGGCGGAAGGGAGAGGGAGGTGGGAGCAGGTAGCGGCAGGGAACCAGGGAACCAGCCTCAGCCGAGAGAGGGAGGGGCTGCAGGAGACAGGGGAGAGGGGCGCTTGGCAGCACGAGCGCCCGTGGTCGTCCCAGTGTTGGGGTCCAAGGCCTGGGAACCTCTGGCTCAGGTGCTTCCTGGAAGGAGGGAGAGAAGAGGGGAGAGAGACACCGGGCCCCTGGGTGCTTAGAGCAGGGACTCCAGGCCGAGGGTCCAAGGAGGGCGCACCGGAAGCGGGGGGCACGACCCTGGGCTCCAGCGGCCTGGCCGCTGAGTGAGACTGAGTTTCTGTCTCCCTGGCCTCCTCTCAAAGGGTGGATACAGAGAACAGGGAGCTCAGGGCTGTGGGTGTTCTTCACCCCAACCTCCCTCTGTTGTCCTTCAGGTATGTGTGGGGAAAGAGGAGGGTCTCGGGCAGGAGCTCCCAGGAGAGACCTAGTCTCCCAACCAGGGGTGTCCTATGTTAATGAGACGTGGGGCAGGGGGCTCTCACCTGCTTCTTGCTGCGGCCACACACACACCATCTGTAGGTTTTCCCGGCTACCAACTCCACCTTGATGGGTGTTTTCAGGGCCACCACGGACTTGGCTGGGGCTTTAGGGAACCATCGGATCTGTGGCATGGGGAGACGAAGGGCTTGGGGTCAGCCCATGCCCTGGAAGCACTTTCCTGCCTATGGCCTTGTCCAGATTCCCAGTGGCCCTGGCTTATGGCAATCTTCCTCTGCAGGAGGCAGGATGCCACCCCACAAGGACACCATAAGGACCCTGAGCTTCAGACAGGGAAGAGATTTCAAGCCCACGCAGGCACTCTGGTTTCTGCGCCCAGTGGCCTCCCTTTCAAACCTGGACTCCCACCTGGGGGCCAGGAAGGGGAGGGCCAGGATCCTGCCAGCCTAAGTGGGGTCACCCGCCCCTGGCGCTGTGTTTTATCAGGCACTGCTCTTCCCAGCGGAGAAGCCTGGCTCCCTGCCCTGGGCACTCTGGTCACCCCACCTCCCCCCGAGCCATCATGAAGGGGACTGCAGGCAGGGGCCTCCTGACACTGGAGTCTGGGAAGTAGGGCTGACCCCCTCTGGTTGGTTCTCTGGTTTCTACCTTTGGCGTCTCTGGGCCTGGGGGACTTGGGAAGGGGAAGGGAAGGGGAAATGGGGTACTCACCAGCCAGGAGGAGATGTCCCGCCTCTGGTTCAGCTTCTGAAAGGTACTCAGGCATGACTAGACGGTGGTTTGGAAGCAGGGTGGGGGGAAAGAAAGTCAGTGGAAAGCGGGTTGCCAGAGGGAAGTCATCTGGAAGGGACGAGACGCCAGGGATGCAGGGCGTAGGAGAAACAAGACGGTAAGAAAAAGGGGTCACAAGACAGGAAGTGGAGGTGCTGGGGGCTGCTGGCTGCACCCGCCCGGCGCTCAGGGAGGGCTGCAAGGCAGCGGGGCCGGCGGCGGGGGGTCGGGGTGCTCACCCAGGCCGCAGGCCGCAGGGGCGCCCCCACGCCGCCGCCCATGCCGCCGCGCTGCGCCGGCTCCGCCCCGCGCCCGGGTCACGTCCCGCCCCCGCCCAACCGGCCGGCCCAGCCCGCCGCGGCCCGGAAGACGCCGCGGGGCTCCGCGCGGATGGGGCCCGGGGCCCGGGGCCTGCGCCGTCCGGGGTGCCTCCCCCCTCCCCGCGCCGCCGCCGGAAGCCCGGCCGGCCCCCGCCCCCCGCAGCCTCCTCGGCCCCCCACCCCGGGGGGAGGGGTGCGGAGGGGGCGCCCGCTCCGGGAGCATCGCCTCGGCGCTCGCGGCCCGCGCCTCCCGGTGTGGGCGGGGACCTCCCGGGAGCCCGCGGCTCAGGCGGAGGCTAAGGCCGCGTCTCGGGGAGCGCCGTGCGGCTCCCGCTCAGGCCCCAGGGAGCTTGCTTTTGCAACAGATTCCCGCCTGGCCCGGGCGTACGCATTACCGCCTTGTGGGTGGGCACAGGTATCTGAGTTTTCAGCCGGAACCTGGTTGTCTTGCGCGTACTGGTCTGTGAACTACTATTCTAAGTGCTTAAAGAAGTGTAACAGACCACCCCTCCCCCCATCCCCTCCCAAGGCTTCCACCGTTGGCACTGCCCTCCCTTTCCCTTCAGTAAAGCCAGACAAAGCAGGGGTCTTTGGATTTTTTTTTTTTTTGTAAAACATTCTTTTATTAAAAGAACAAGTGCTGTTTATGAACTGCCCTTCGTACAAATAACATCCGTTATACAAAGATACAAGATCCGGGTTATGCACAATTCCAGGCTTGGAAGTGAGAGGAGGGGGGCATTGCCTTTTGGGCTGAGGCTATAAAGGAGGTTCTAGAAAGAATGTAAAAGGAGCCCCTGGGTTTGCAACTCTGGCTTCCCCTCCCTGCTCCCCTAGGAAGGGTCTGCTACATTGAGACAGGCTGGGATGGACAGGGGGAAAACGGGGCTGGGAGTCAGGGTTTGGGTCTCCAGTCCTGCCACCTGAGTCCCAAGTTGGGCTGGAGGAAATGAACAAAGGGCAATGAAGGCACCCCCCCAGTCCCCAACTTTTCAGTAGATCAAGTCAAAGTGGTCGGGAGCTGGACACACTTTGAATCCGGATTGATGTGACTGGAAGGAGCCAGGGTGTTGCGCCCCACTTCCTCCAGATTCCCCACTGAAGTGACCTTAATCCGTCTGGGCACCTCTGCCCATTGAGTTAAGGAGAATTGGGAGCAAGCCGCCTACTCCTAACTTGGGCCCACCACACACCAAGGAAGATGCTGGAGGTTGGCAAGGGGAGCCTGTGCCTTTGAACAGTTGTCTGCATTTCCAGTTCGAGGAAAGGGAAGCATGAGGTCCCCCTTTCTCAGAGCTGGCCCCTGGCTCTGGCTCCCCTCATTTGTCTAGGCCCTTCCCTGGAGCCCTTCCCTAGAACTCAGTAACAGGAATGGGTGGGGCGCTCTCAGCCTCAAGGTTAGGGCACCAGAAGGCAGCGGTAGACCCAGGAGCCTGAGGGGAAAGACACACACAAATAGGAAAAACTTAAAAAAAAAAAAAAAAAAAAAAAAAGCAATCTTTAAAGTGTCATTGTCTATGGAGAGGATCCATCAGCTCTGAGCTAAGACAATCAGTGCTACACAGATACCCTCCCACCCCGGGGCCCAGCCCAGCACTCACACACAGGGACAGACAGCCAGCCACATGGAGGTGGTGCAGTGGGGGGCGAGAGAGCCCAGGACCAGGAGGCCAGGGTCCTGAGGGCTGGTCCTGGCTCTGCCCCAAGCCCCTGCCCCTCCTAGGCTTGGAGCTATCACCCGTGAAGCAAGGAACTGGTTCCAACCACCCCTAAAGATAGGTCCCTTCCAACTCTGACACTCATGCACCAGTCGTGACCTCAAAGCCGGACAGGGGTTCAGCATGCACACCCCCTCACACCTCCACGCTGAGCGTGATCACACACGAAGCTCCTCTCATGCATTTTCAGGCTCCATTTCCGCCCTGCAAACCACATCCTTTCTCTCTGCTAGGCAGAGAGGTCTACAAATCTGTGTCTTTTCCCACTCCCCATCCAAATTCGTCCTAGAAAAAGGGACAGAGGCTGGAAAAGGAGGGTGAGGTCACTAAAGCCATTCCCCCTGCATTGGGATCCTGAAGATCTCCAGAACTTTCCTATTATAAAGCTCCCTCTGAAGAAGGAAATGCACGACCTCTCTCGTGCCCCCCTGCCCCAAATTGAGGGACAGCAGCAATCCATATTCAGCCTGGGTCCCTTCTTCCAACCTAACCTACCTACGGCTGCACCCCAGCCTGGGGAAAGCTGGAAAAACATAGGCTCTTGGAGATGAGAACCCCAGGCTCATGGGTGCTGGGAGGGAGCGGGGAGGTCTTGGTTCCAGTGCACTAAATCCTAGGGACCTCTCACTCTGCCACAGCGGGCTCAGAGAGGTTTTGGCTTCCCTCACTATCCAGAACAGAAGTTGACTTGGGCTCCTAGTGGGCCGGCCTTGGGCAAGGGTGTGAGTGTGAATGAGCAACTCTTCTAAGAACCTCTAAAGGTTATTTTTCTTTTCAGTGGTTTGGGGGCAGGGAATTAGAGAGCTTAATAGATGAAGATGAACAAAATGCTGAGTCCTATCATTTCTTTCTAATTGATATTTAGCATTAATAAAAAGTATTTCTGAGGTCATCACAACTGCCTTCCCCCCACCCCCAAGCCCTTGCAAGTGCCTAAGAAATTGCCTCTGAAGGATTCCCACCCACCCCCTCCTTTATCAGCTCCCTAACATCTTACAAAGTCTTATCAACAGGGATATTAATATTATTTTCAGTATCAGAAAAAAACCAGTTGAGCAGCACAGGCAAAAATATATCTGCACTACGTTTCTGTCGTTGCCAAAAATATACACATCTTCTTTTCTTTATTTAAAAAAAAACCAACAATAACAAAAACCCAAACAGAAACACACACAAAAAATCCACACATGCAAAGACTGACGAGACACGAGCATCAGGGAAAGCTGGAAACGCCTTCTCCCGGCTCCAACCCCAGTGCAACTGAAACAGAGATACAGGCTTCACCCTCGCCCCGCTCCTGGCTGCCCTACCGGCCCCTCAGCCTTTGTCACCAAAGGCTCTGGGCAGGTGGGGGCTCTTTAAGGTGAGAATTGCCCCCTACACCCCGGGGAAATAGCTGGTGGGTGAAGGGACAGTTGTCAGGTCAGCTCGAGCTGAAGGCTCCCCTGGTTGGTGGGGGTGGGGTGCGGGGGGGGGGGGGAAGCAAGCTGGCTAATTCTGGGAGGGAGGTTGTCACCAAAGGAAGTGGCACTTTACTCCCCCTCTTTGCCCCATCCCCCAGACCCCTGGGGCTCCCCCTGGGCCAGGGAGGCAGGACCAACTGTCAGTGGGGGAAGGGGGGCTCCGAGGGGGCAGTGAGACCATGTGGGGGTCTGGGGGAGGGAAGGCAGGACATGACCCTGATTCAAAGCCCCCAGCCCCCGGTTACTCTCCAATATTGGAGTACTGTTCTGGTTTTTGTTAACCATTCATGCCCCAGAAAGGGACCAAAGCCGGTGAGGTGGGGGGGGGTGCAAACAAAAGCTGGGAGCCCCCTTCTGGTGCTGCCTCATCTGAGCACTGCTCCTATCCCTGCCCTCGGCTGCCCCAGGTCCAGGGGGGGACAGACAGACAGACAGACAGACACACACACACACACAGATGCACACACACACAGGCACACACGCTCTCTGAGTCAGGCAGCTCCATCTTCCCACCCTCCGCACTCCTAAATCCAATAGTGCAAACAAGGGGCAGGGCACCAAGAGGGTTGGGCCTCGCCCCCCCCCGCCCTCCCCCATCCCATCACCGTCACGGGGTGGGGGGGGCTCCCGAGAGGTGGGGAGGCGTGGGCTTAGTTTGGTGCCGTCTTGCCCCTTCCTCAGCTCCCTCATCTGTGGGCTTTTACAAGCTCAGCTTGTAACCCTCATTAGGGGGCGGGGGCGGGGGACCAGGGAGACGCAGTCCAAGGGATCTCTTCTGCCATCTGCCCAAGTTGGGAAGAACCTGCAGGTAAAGCAGGGCCACCCCTTCTTTTGTAAGAGATTTCCGCGCACGGGCAGGCCCAGGGCCTGTCTCCCCACCTCTCCCCACTCAAGTGCTGATCCATTTTATGTGGGGGGTCCAACCAACCCCCCACTTATACCATGGCCCACGTGGCTCTTGGAGGACCTCAAAACATTGCTGAGAGTGGGGGCTCCTAGGTGGGCTTGAAGCCTGTCCTCCCTCTGAGCCCCTCACAAAGGGGTCAGTGTGGAGGGAGAGGGGCCAATGGAAGGGGCATCTCTCTCCGGCTCAGTCCTCGGCACCAGGAGCACCCCACACTCCCTGGGCCTCAGCACATGATCTGGGCTGGGGCTCTCCAGTGTCTGGGTGCAGGTGCCTGCTCCAGGCTAGGTAGGGCCCCTCAGGCCAAGATCTGCCCCCTCCATTTGGGGGTCAGGAGGGGCTGAGTGGATTTAGCCTTTTTCCTGGTTGGCTGAGGTTCCTTTGTCAGCGGTCTGGAAAGAGAGGAAGGGAGGCTGGGGGTTTAGGAGGTGTCTGGTTCTAACACCCAGTTGTGAACAAGGGCCTGGGGTAAGACCACTGCTGTAGGACGGAGTGAGGGAGCCCGGCTGAAGCCCCTGCCCTGGGCTCTTGGGCTAAGGCGAGTGTTTGGGTGGGGGTGGGGGTGGGGGTGGAGGGCAAGGTGCCCTGCACTAGGGCACCCAGCTAAGCAAGGCCAGCACCCTGGGCTCTGACAGTATGCCCCCAGAGGAAGGAAGGAGGGCCTTTCTCCGGAGGGCCCACCCAGAGCATTCTCTTTTTCTAACTGGTCCACTCAGAGAGGAAACGGACTTTCCTAAATGGTCTTCTCAGAGGAACCCCATTTTCTAACTGGTCCTTTTGCTATAAGCCCACGCTCGGAGTCTGTCTCTGGCGGAGCCAGCAGAGGCCCTGGGGCCTGGAGCAGGGCGCTTTGCTGACCTAGGGGTCGCTTCCGTCCCCCTTCTCATG